GAAATTACAGGCTTGCTGTAGCTGTTCTGTGAGCCACAGTAGGCTCATAGCACTGCCCAGGGAGACTGCTGTAATTTACAGGCCCTCAGGGTTATTAAAGTTACACCGTGGGCCTCTCCAGCCCTCAACACAGCCCAGGATCGTGAGGACACAAAGGTGGTTTGAAGTCACCTTAGCTCCTCTACCCTTGGGCTGTGAGTTCTGGGCTGCTCCTCTTAGAGAGACAGCACAGGATCTCACCTTATGCCTTTTTGAAAAGTAACACTTAAATGGATTGCCTCTAATAAGAAGTTCCATGACTATATTTTTAGAAAGCATTTGTGAGAATTTTCAGTTTTTTATCTCTGCCTTAATGTGTTCCTTTGGATCCCTTTTTTTCTAGAGGCAGTACTAACTAATGAGTTTCCCTCTTGGAAACATTCCCATGAGCTTCCCAACGAATATCACTGGAGGCCATAGGTGCTGGAAATGGGGGTGCTGCTGCACCCCCTGACTTGAAGTGGTTTCCATTATATACAGGGTTTACAGTTCGGTTCAATAGCTCTCAGCACCCCCACTATAAAAATTGTTCCAGCACCCCTGTTGGAAACTTCTAAATTTTTTAGTTTGAAATATATTTTAGGTTCTTTTCTAAAATCACTATCTTCGAGCAGTAGGAAATCAAGTATACCTACTTTTTTCTGCTCAGTTTTTCTGACCTGTCTGAAGTTGGATTAAGTTGGACGCTCCCCAACTTACACAAGCGTTCCGTTTCGGAACGCCTTGTGTAACTCGAATTTTGCATAAGTTGGGAATGTATACCCAACCATTACGCAACCCCCCCCCCAAAAAACAACAACAAAAAAGCTTTCTAGCTTATGGAACTTATGGAACTTTTTCCGTAAGTGCAGATTTGTGTAAGTTGGGTTTGCGTAACCCGGAGAGCTTCTGTACTGCTTTTTAGTTGCATTCCAGTGTGTTTTTACTTGTGAACTGAACAAATTTGAAAAGCCATTAAAAGTCAGTAGAGATGGAACCTATTATAATGCCTTTTGTGCTCAGCTTTCAGACTACAGCTGCATTTCAGTTTTGATCTGCTTAACTTAGTGGGTTTCCATTGTGTGTAGAATTGATACTGCATTCATTTCATATATATACAGCATTTCCTATACTCTTTACTTGGTCATAAGATGGACTGATCAGATGGAGTATTAAATCATTTTCTCAAATATGGTGTTAGAGCTTTTGGAACTTTAGATGTTAAAGCTGTTGTTACTATACATATTGAGGTTTAATGTTACAGTATATGTTAATTTTATGAGTAAGCAAAAACATTATTTTAGGGCATTGTAATGTGGAGCTCTGTACTCTTTAAAAGCAGTGTCTGAGCTATAAATACAGACAATGGTCTTACAGTATAAGGAAAGGTTGATTAAAACAAAGGTGATATTATTTATTTAAAGGGTGAATTTTGTTTAAGCCAAAATTAGATACTATTGGAAATCTTCTAGAGATCCTTTTATTATTATTATTTCTAGCAATTTTTTTTCTTTATATGAAGTTTGTAGCACCTTACTGTTTTAGCAAAAGTGGTGACGAAGGGCGCCCTCCAGATGGACTTGGCCACCAGGATGGTTGTCTCGGTGGTGAGGCGCAGCTCTTGGCTACAGTCTTCGGGGTTATCCCAAGAGATGCAGGCCATGATCCAGGACCTCCCGTTTGAGGGCGTGGGGCTCTTCTCTGAGCTCACTGACGCAAGGCTGCATGGCCTTAAAGATTCCTGGGCCACCCTGCGGTTGCTGGGCTTCCACACTACACAGCAGGCCAGAAAGCAGTTCTGGCCGCCTCCTCCATCTAGGTTCTGGGGATCTTCCCAGCAGGGGTCCTACAGGAGAAAGGACAAAAGCAAAGGGTTTAAGCACCGCCACCCTTCATCCTCTCGCTCGCCGGCTCAACCTGGCCCTTTGAAACACCCTGGGGGCCAGAGACAGGTGTTTTGAAGGTGCGACCGGGGACGGTGCCCCAGTCAAGTACCTGGATCCACCCTCCTGTTCTTTCCTCAACCGCCTACTAGCCTTCTAGTTGGCATGGTTGCAAGTGACATCAGACCGTTGGGTGCTCAACACAATACCCTTGGGCTACACCCTACAGTTCTTGACTGCTCCTCCCTTCCACCTCCCTCTTCAGGGACCCTTCTCACAAGCAATTCGCTCAGGAGGTGGGAAACCTCCTAAGGCTGTGAGTGGTGGAGGAGATCCCTCGGGATATGAAAAGAAAAGGATTCTACTCCTGATATTTCCTAATCACGAAAGCAAAACGGGGCCTAAGACCCATCCTGGACCTGTGTTGCCTCAACAAGCATTTCAAGAACTTGACGTTTCGAATGATCTCCCTGGCCTCCATCATCCCCTCTCTGGATCCGGGAGACTGGTATGTCGCCCTCGACTTGAAGGACGCATTTTTCCATTTTCCCACGACACAGCTGGTTCCTGTTTTGTGTTCGGCCAGCACCATTTCCAATTCATGGCACTGCCCTTTGGTCTCTTGTCAGCCCCGAGTGTGTTCACAAAGTGCATGGCACCAGTGGCCGCTTACTTGAGGTGTCGGGGCGTTCAAATTTACCCGTACCACGATAACTGGCTGATCAAGAGCCGGTCTTGGCATCAGGTGTGGCAGCACCTTGGGCTGGTTTGCTCCACATGTCGCGATCTAGGTCTGTTGATAAACGAGAAAAAATCTCAGGCCCCTACAGGCATGGCTGGCGTCGGTCTATGTCCCCAACAGACACAACATAGACCAGGTATTCAAGATTCTGGACCACATACTGTCATCGCTTGCTTGGTGGTTGGATCCCGCATCGGTATTGGCGGGAGTCCCCTTTGTGGCCCCATCCCCGTCAGTCTCCCTGGTTTCCGATGCTTTGGATCTGGGATGGGGAGCCCATCTGGGCGACCTCGGCATGCAAGGTTGTTGGTCGAGTTGTGATTGCTTCTTACATGTAAATGTCAAGGAGCTTAGAGCGATAAGCCTGGCCAGTCAAGCTTTCCTGCCTCATATAAAAGCGTGGTTCAAGTCCTGATGGCCAATACCGCCGCTATGTTTTATACCAGGGATGGCCAACCTGAGCCCGAGGAGCCAGAATTTACCAATGTACATTGTCAAAGAGCCACAGTAATACACCAGCAGCCCCCCGTCAGCTCCCCACTCCCCCCCCGGCTCCCAGTGCTTCCCACCCACCAGCAGCCTTCCCCACACCTCCCGATCAGCTGTTTCGTGGCGTGCAGGAGGCTCAGGGGGGAGGAGGAGGAGCAAGGGCATGGCAGGCTCAGGGGAGGGGGTGGGAAGGGGTGGAGTGGGGGCAGGGCTTGTGGCAGAGCCAGGGGTTGAGCAGTGAGCACCCCCAGTGAAGGGGGACATTCTAGAGCAGGGGTGACCACCCTGAACCTGAGAAGGAGCCAGAATTTAACAATATACATTGCCAAAGAGCCACAGTAATACATCAGCAGCCCCCCATCAGCTCCACCCCTCCCCCCGCTCCCAGTGCCTCCCGCCCACTGGTAGCCCCGCCAATCAGTGCCTCTCCCTCCCTCCCCGAGGGAGGAGCAAGGGCACGGCAGGCTCAGGGGAGGGGACGGGAAGGGGTGTAGTGGGGGCAGGGCCTGTGGCAGAACAGTGAGCACCCCCCGGCACATTGGAAAGTTGGCGCCTGTAGCCCCAGCCCTGGAGTCGGTGCCTATACAAGGAGCCACATATTAACTTCTGAAGAGCCTCATGTGGCTCTGGAGCCACAGGTTGGCCGCCCCTGTTCTATACCAACAAGCAAGGCGGAGCCTGGTCCTCAGCCCTTTGCCAAGAAGCCATCAGGCTCTGGAATTTTCTATGTTCAACATGCCATTCATCTCGTGGCCGCTGACCTCCCCGGGGCTAGGAACTCTCTGGCAGATCACCTCAGCAGGACCGTCTTGTCTCGTGCTATCTTGAGGTCGTTAGCATCATTTTCCAAAGGTGGGGGATTCCCCAGGTGGACTTGTTTGCATCCAGGCACAACAGAAAGTGCCATGCTTTCTGTTCGATTCGGGGAGGGGGGGGGGGGCTGACAGAGGCACCCTGTTGGACACTTTCCTGCTCCTGAGGTCAGGGGCTATGATGTACACCTTCCCTCCAGTGCTATTAATTCACAGAGTCCTCATGATGATCAAGCAGGACAGAGCGAAAGTAATCCTCATAGTGCCGGTTTGGGTGCGCCAGCACTGGTTTGGCACATTGCTGGAGCTCTCGGTGGCTGCCCCATTACAGCTACCGCTCTGGCCGGACCTGTAGTCTCAGAACAATGGCAGACTGTTGCATCCGAACCTGACAGCGCTGCATCTGACGGCCTGGCTGCTGCATGGTTGAATGCGGATGAGTGGCTGTGCTCAGACGGTGTCCAGGTCCTACGGGGCAACAGAAAACCCTCTACCAGAGCAACCTACCTGGCCAAATGTAAACAGTTTACATGCTGGACTTCAGATAAAGGCATTGGATTCGAGAGGCCCTCACTTCATTTAATCCTGGATTACCTCCTTCATCTTAAGCTCCAGGGTCTGTCTCTTTCATCTGTTAAGGTCCACTTGGCCTCTATTTCGGCCTTTCATCCTCTGCTCGAGAACAGGTTGGTTTTCACCCACACCATGACTGCCAGGTTCCTCAAGGGCCTAGAGTGCCTATACCGTCATGTCAGGGACCCCGTTCCTCCGTGGGACCTAAATCTCGTGCTGTCACAACTTACGGGAGCACCCTTTGAGCCTCTGGCTTCCTGCTCCCTCCTCCTCCTCTCCTGGAAGGTCGCTTTCTTGGTGGCAATAACATCTGCCCACAGGGTCTTCGAGATTAAGGCATTTACCTTGGAGCCGTCCTACACAGTGTTTTACAAGGACAAGGTCCAACTGCGACCACATCTGGCCTTTCTATCCAAGGTTATTTCGCATTTTGATATGACTTAAGACATATTCTTACCTGTCTTCTTTCCTCAACCTCATAAGTCGGAGGAGGAGCGTAGGTTGCACTCTCTGGATGTCAGAAGGGCGCTTGCCTTTTATATTGAGAGGACCAAGCTTTTTCGTAAGTCGCCGCAGTTATTTGTTGCAGTGGCCGACAGGATGAAAGATCATCCAGAGTTGGCCCAGAGGATCTCGTCTTGGATTACTGCCTGTATCCGATACTGGTACAACCAGGCCAAGGTACCCCCTCTGGCGATTGTAACCGATGGAAAACAAAAAACATGTATCTTTTGTATATAGGAGCAGTTATTACAATAAAATTCAAGAGGTTTCAAGGGTATTTTGTGGTCCCTAAGAGATCAGGAGGCATATATTCAATATTGGACTTAAAATTTGTAAACTATTTGTGTATATATACATGCATACAACACTTTTAGATCAGTCATTATATCCATAAATCCAGTGGAATATGATTTTTAGGCTGCATATTTTTGGATACCACTTGCATGCTGCCACCAGCAATAATTGAGTCTACTGATGGATCATAATTATCTTTGGTATTACATTCTGCCTTTCAGACGACACCATGCCTTGGGTGTTTATAAAAATGAGGGTGGTGGAAGGAGAGGCCCTCAAGAAAAGGAACTGAAATAACTCTGTTTTTGGATTTGGCCTGTCTGATCAGGGCAAAGTCCAGACAACTTCAGCTACAGTTTGCAGTGCTCTACAATTGTGTTGGTCATCTAGGATTAGTAATGAATTATAAGAATGGCTGATCTTTTCCTCTGTCACTTGTTAATGGATTGCATCTGGGCATACTTCCAAGATAGTTTAGAGAAAAATCAGTTAAGAGGAAAAGGAAAAAAATTAGGGCTGTCGATTAATTGCAATTAACTCAAAAAAATTAACCGCGATTAAAAAAATTAATCGTGGTTAATTGCACTGTTAAACAATAGAATACCAATTGAAATTTATTAAATATTTTGGATGATTTTCTACTTTTTCAAATATATTGATTTGAATTACAACACAGAATACAAAGTGTACAGTGCTCACTTTATATTATTATTATTACAAATATTTGCACTGTAAAAATGATAAAAGAAATAGTATTTTTCAGTTCATCTCATACAAGTGCAGTCTCTTTATCATGAAAGTGCAAGTTACAAATGTAGGATTTTTTGTTACATAACTGCATTCAGACCAAAACAATGTAAAACTTTAGAGCCTACAAGTCCACTCAGTCCTACTTCTTGTTCAGCCAATAGCTAAGAAGGTGACATTAATTACAATGTCACCTGAAAGTGAGAACAGGCATTCACATGGCACTGTTGTAACTGGCGTTGCAAGATATTTACGTGCCAGATGCACTAAAGATTCATATGCCTCTTCATGCTTTGGCCATTATTCCAGAGGACATGCTTCTACGCTGATGACACTCGTTAAAAAAAATGCGTTAATTAAATTTGTGACTGAACTTCTTGTTGGAGAATTGTATGTCTCTGACTCTGTTTTACCCTTTTTCTGCCATATATTTCATGTTATAGCAGTCTCAGATGATGACACAGCACATGTTCGTTTTAAGAACACTTTCAGTGCAAATTTGACAAAATGCAAAGAAGATACCAATGTGAAATTTCTAAAGATAGCTACAGCACTGGACCCAAGATTTAAGGATCTGAAGTGCCTTCCAAATACTGAGAGGGATGAGGTGTGGAGCTTGCTTTCAGAAGTCTTAAAAGAGCAACACTCTGATGCGGAAACTACAGAACCCAAACCACCAGAAAAGAAAATCAACCTTCTGCTGTTGACATCAGCCTGGACGCATGCCCTCTGGAATGGTGGTTGAAGCATGTATGGACATATGACTCTTTAGCACATCTGGCATGTAAATATCTTGCAATGCCAGCTACAACAGTGCCATGCAAATGCCTGTTCACTTTCAGGTGACATAAACAAGAAGCAGGCAGTATTATCTTCTGGAAATGTAAACAAACTTGTTTGTCTGAGCGATGGGCTGAACAAGAAGTACGACTGAGTGGACTTGTAGGCTCTAAAGCTTTACATTGTTTTATTTTTGAGTGGAGGTTTTTTGTACATAATTCTACATTTGTAAGTTCAACTTTCATGATAAAGAGATTGCACTATAGTACTTGTATGAGGTGAATTGAAAACAGGGCTGGCTCCAGCGTTTTTGCTGCCCCAAGCGGCGGAAAAAAAAAAAAAAAAAGCCGCGATCGGCGGCACTTCGGTGGCAGTTCTACCGCCGCCGCTTTATTTTTCGGCGGCAATTCGGCGGCGGGTCCTTCCCTCCCAGAGGGACTGAGGGACCCGCCGCCGAAGAGCCGGATCTGCCGCCCCTCTCCATTGGCTGCCCCAAGCACCTGCTTGGTGCACTGGTGCCTGGAGCCAGCCCTGATTGAAAAATACTGTTTCTTCCATTTTTTAAAATGCAAATATTTGTAATAAAAATAAACATAAAGTGAGCACTGTACACTTCGTATTCTGTGTTGTAATTGAAATCAATATATTCAAAAATGTAGGAAATATCCAAAAATATTTAAATCAATGGTATTCTATTATTGTTTAACAGCGCGATTAATTGAGATTAATTTTTTTAATTGCTTGACAGCCCTAAAAAGAAATCACATTTGTAATAGCTGTACTACATCTTTCTTTGATGGTCTCTATCTCTCACACATAGACCTTATACTTCATTATTAATAAATATTTTATTTGTAGTCTAAGAACAACCTCAGATCAGGATCTCATATTAGGCATTGTACAAACACATGAAAGATACTCCCTACCCTAAGAATTTATACTCTATATAGGCAAGACACATGAAGGATTAAAAGATATAATACATAAGCAGAGTAACCAGGTTTGAGGGTGGCAAATGTCATGGCAGTTCTGTGTTTATGTAGGCCTTTTAATGTAGCACAATGTCAGGAGGTCATTGCATGGAGTGAAGAGGTACTCCTAAGAGATATCATTGAAATATACTATGAATATTTGTGTTTTGACTAAATCAGTCACATCTCACTTTTGCTGTGTCTTGATATTTGGATTTATAGTTTATGCCATCACTCCAGGAGTAAGAACAATACAGATTTTCAAATGCATTCAAAAATTATAACCCAGATTAATATGGGGGAAGAAATTATTCCCAAATCAGCCAGAGAAAACTGATACTGTCCCAATTCAGACCACTTCTTTAGAACAAATCAAAGTAAATAGTTCTTGCATTGTGCCCAGAAAGATGTCAAATTTGGGCTCTCTTAGACCAACATTTGGGTATGTGGTATATGCATGTACATGTTTGATACTTTTATTTATTTTGTTTTTAAAGCAAATTGTGCACCTATGCACAGCACAAGTTAGCACTATAAAATCTATTTTTGTAGAGAATGAATACTGTATGCAGGGCTGGTTTTGACAAGTTGCAGAAACTTTGATTTCAGGTGGCCCCAAGTTGAGAGGAGTCCTCGGGGGCTGGGAGGAGAGGCTGCTTTGCCTATGTTCAGCTCAGCTTCTCACTCCAGATACCTTACACAGTATGACGTGTTGAAGTAATGTAAAGAACTATCCACCCAGCTCTGCCTATTGGTTCAGATATGGAGCTATCCAGGAGAAAGGAGAATCTATGCAATATGAACTTCATGTCCAGCTCCCCGTGCTAATCCATGCCCAAGTACTAAGAGGAAATTAATCTTCCTGCTGGCTGCATTAACTTCTGCATAACTCTGGTTGTGAAGGACCGGTGCGCTGTAGGTCTATCAGCTGTCCTATTGGGTATATTTTACATTTAAAACAAACAAACAAAAAACACTCAAGTTAAGTGCTGAGAAGTCAGAGTCTGTACTTCTCAATCTTTTTTTTTTTTTCCCATTCAGACTCCAAAGTCCTTTTTCTGGCTCTCTGGCTAATTCTGGTAAGGAATTGTCAGCTAAGGAAGAGTCAGTGTAAAAGTACACATTGTTTTGCAAGTGCATAAAGGACAAATCCCTTACTCTGAGGACTCTTACGCAGATCGAGCTTGAACAAATGTAATATATATTATTCAGATGCAAGATGGCCTGTAAACTTTGTTAGTGATTGCATCAGATTTGTGAGGCTTCATGAAAGATGTAGATTTTACAGCAGGATTAGAAGGCTACAAGAGAGATTACTTGGTGTTAGGAATTATAAAGCTCTTCTAGTCAAAAGGGTCATTAAAATCATTTTAAAGCTGAAGTGTGGTAGAGACAAATGGAGAGGTTAGAGAGAACTGGACAGAGGGAAGGAAGAAAAATAGGGGAATCGGAGGAAATGAGAGCAGCTTTTGCCATGGTTGACTGTTGACCTTGAGCACATTGGAGTCTGTTCACTTCACGGAGTCTCTTGCTGTTATTCCCAAGACTTTATTTGCTATATATTGCACTTGAGCTAGGTGAAATTACGTAGACTCTGTTGTTGAGAAGATGGCATGGAATTGCCTAATTTGGCATTCATTCCACAAACACAGTGGGAGAAGGAGTCCCTATTCAGGATAGAGATTAGCCAACTCCAAGAGGTCTGGAACCTGATCAGAAGCCTAGTTGAGGTTAATGAGGGCTTTTCCGTTGACTTCAATGAACTCTGAATCAGACATTTATATCAGTATCTGCAGAAACAAATTTCTGTTAGATTGGTCAATAATACGGAAGGCAGATAATTGTCTTTTCAAGATGATATGAATGAAATAAGCAAGAAGAATGGAAATCTTTTTGCTTAATATTTCAAGCAGAAATAATGGCAATGGATAAATTATGGCATTGGTGAAATGACTCATAGCAATTATAGCTAAACAAGTCAATGGTATCTCATGCTATCAGCTGTAATACTTAACAATTGCATAGCATATTATACCTTCAAAGTGCTGACAAGCATTAATTAATGCCTGTAAAGAAAAAATGAGGTATGATGCATATGTTCTGTTATTGCCATTATTTAAGTTGTCTGTTTCATGAGGACAACTTGGCTGACTTCCAAGGATGGTAGAAAAGTTGACTTCATCAGATAAAACTAAAAACTTCTCCAATTGAAGATCAAATTAAAAAGATTCTCCTTGTAATGCAAAGCAACTCCCTGTACAAAGTTGCCTCTGCTAGAATAATGGCCAACTGCCAGAGGAGAAAGAAATAAAAGCCTAACTGTATGTTTGACCTTTGTGTTCTTTCCTTCTTTTAAAACAGAATATTGATGTATTAATGTGCACC